CCGACCCACGCAGAGACGGACGCGGAACGGCCGGCCCGCCGCGAGCCACGCCCCGGAAGTGCCGGGCGCACGGCGCTTCCGCTTCCGGCCGCGGCTGGGCCCGGGCCCTCCCGTCTGATCCCCTTGGGGTCCTTCGTGACCGGCCTGACCACAAGCACGCGGGGAGGGGTGTTCTGGGAAACGAAGCTGTCGCCACGCTGCCTGTGACGTGGCCGCCGTCCGCCGGTGCCCTGTCCCTTACACACACACCCCTCCTCAGGCCTGCCGAACCCCCGGTAAAGGTCACGCGGCTCGTCACAGACGCAGTCATGGCACCTGTGTTCAGCCGGGAGGACAGGACATGGCGGGACTTTCCATAGGGGACACGTCCTTCCGTCCGCGCTGGCGACGTTCATTCTCCAGCTGGCTGTCACCGCACCGACCCAGGCCCGCCCACCCATCCCAGCTAAGCCGAGACCCTGACGCCGGCTGCAGGACGACACCGGCGTCCAGTTGCAAGGCCAAGTAACAGGGCAGGGGCAGCCGACGCTGGAAGCCGCCGCGCTGCCCTAAAGCTGGCAGGAAAGACTTTCCGAGAAAAGGTGTGGGCTGGGGCTGCTGAGTAGCCCGTGGGCCGCTCCTGACCCGCTCCGTCTGGGCAGCGTTTGGCTCCGATCATCCGGAGCCCCTGCGGTCCACACCCGGTCAGCACATCCCTGGGCCTAGGGAACTTTTGGTCTCTGTTCCTGTTACACCTCAAGGGTACGTGTCAAGGTAGTCTGTGACCCTGGGAACTTAAGAGACTCTGATTAATGGCACTTCTCATCACTTAGGTACCATCCCTTCTGCCCCCTTTGTTCCCCTTCCTCAACTGCCAGTTTTAAGTCTTAGCTCCTTAATTGGAGGGCCCAGTTCCCAGGTCCTAAACCACTTGCGATTTGGGGGACTAAGGACAGTTCATTTCATCGAAACTTCTGAGGGGCTTCATCCAAATGGGATCCCGACTCAGCTTCAGGGTCTTGCCCCTCTTCAGAGACCCAAAGCTGGGGCTTTATGAGCTTGTTGCTGGTACATTCCACCCTCAAGGACTGAATAGCAGGGGCTGGGCCAGAGCCGGGCATTTGACTTTGTCCTTTTCCTCCTATCGGGACCTCTCTCCTCTCTCCAGGGACAGCTTGTCCAGAGTGCAGGGGCTTGGTGAATTAAACTACCAGCAGCAGTGACGTGGCAGAGAGTGTTTGTAGGTGGATAGTCTTGAGGCTATATGATGTTAACAGCAATCCAGGCGTACACAGTGCAAGGTGATAACCCTGTGGCTTGTGGAGCCACACACCTGGCAAATGTCAGTCTCTGACCTAGGGAAGGCCAGGTAAGATGTGTGATCTGGTTCAGTGTTCATCCCACACTCCCAAGGCTGCTCAGCCCCCACCTCTGCTCTCCGACAGGACCCACTCACTCTGAGCTTGACTTAGTCCAACCGTGGCCTTGACATGGCCTCTCAGACCTCTCACCCTCACCACTCACTCTGCGCTCCAACCGTGGCCTCCACACCTGCCAACATGTCCAAAACCAAACTCCTGATTCTTCCCACCAGCCTTTTTGGTGAAAGACCCCCCACCCCATTAGAGAAGCAGGAAATGGGTCCCTGTCACCCTCTTCCTCATATCACCTTTCTCACCCCGCAAATGCCGTCCAGTTAATCCTCACATCTCCTTCTTGTCACTGCTGTGGCTGCAAGTGTGACCTCAGGGATGAGCTTCTCCATGCAAGCTCTAGGGACCTTGGCAGGGCTGGTCACAGTGTGACAGCATTGGTATAGTATGAACTTGATCTATGTTGAACATCTTCCCTTGGGCTGTGGCTCAGAGGACAGTCTCAGTGCTGTAGGGAGTGCCTTAGCCTAGACTGGGGTGGGGCATGGGACAGGGGGACCTCCCGCTCCAGCACCTTCCCCAGGGAGGCAGCAGGTCCTGACACAGCTCACACCTGTGCAGGGAGATGGCAGCAGCATTCAGGTACACCTCTGCCTGAGGCCGTGGGCCCCAGCTGGTCTATGAAGTTTGAGGTGGGCCTTCACTTCCCACAGCTCCCGGCCCCTTCTGCATCCAGATAACCCAAGTGCTGACCTCGCTCCTGGTTAGTGCAGGGCGGGTGATAAGTCAACACTGTTTAACTCACAAGTTCATGGCCTTAACCATGACTTCCACATTTGCAACTTATTCTGACCCAAGCTTAAAGGCTGCATCCCAGTCATTGCAGACGCAGCCCCATCTCCTCCCTTCCCACAGCACAGTGTTGCGAACGAGGACCCTGGAACCCCAAAGCATCAACCCCAGCACCTTATGTGGCTGTTGGGGTGGGAGGATTCTGGGTGATTTTTCTTTTCTCTGATTTCTAAACTATTTGCAAACTTGTTTCTAGTTGAAAGTATAATTTCCACATGTTCACCCTGAGTTCTATACATGAAGGCAAATGTCGTAGCTGACCAAAAATGACACTGGCCAGAATCTCCTCAAACCTGGCAGTAGCTAACCGAGGCTGGTCTGGAGACGATGAGCCAGCAGCTCCGTACAGTTTATTAGCACAGAGCCTCGTGCGTTCGTTCCTCACTCCAAAGGTGCGTTGCAGAATTCATTCTGAGTCTTTCACCAGGAGAGACATTGTACCAGAACTAGAGCACAGGAAAAGCCATGCTGATGCTACCGCGTCCTCTACTGCTTGCAGCGCAGTGTCCCCTCGCGTCGCTCCCACAGCCAGGCTAGCGTCTGTGCCGCCGCCTCTTCAGCGCCTTCCACTCCCCTTCCTGCGTCGCCAGGCTGTTGCAAAGCTGCTTCACTTTCCGCTTTCTCTCCGCGTCCCTGAAGAAAAAACAAGCAAACGCTCAGTTCTGGATTAGTTCCTGGCGGGCGTTTGTTCTTTTTCATGCGAGAACCTTGTAGCCTGCGGCTCCCATGTCAGGCCCAAACACGGCAAAAAGGAGGGGAGAGCTGCCTGCCCTGCCCCCAGTTCCAGGAGGGACCAGCACCCAAACCTCTTCCCGGGCATGCAGTGCCAAGCGCTGTGGCCACCCAGCCATGCCAACGCACACACGCCCTCACCGCTCCATGATTTCCGAGAGCTGCATCCTAGCCAGGAACTGATTGTCCCTGCGGATTTCACGGACGGCACCCTTAAACTCGCGCTTGTGTTTGTGGATCAGCCTCTTCCTCTCCTGTTCCTCTTTACTGCTGCCTTGTTTCCTTCCAAACTCGAGGCTGAAATTGGAAAGCCCGTGTTGAGGTGGCAAGGGGCGAGCCTGTGCCGCCCTCCGCCAGGGCCTGTTCATGTGGGCCTCTGGCTACCATCTGAGCCCGCCCAGCCTCCCAGCGGCTGCCCACGCTCACACTTTGACCAGGCGGGGGGTGAACAGCTTCAGCGGCACGGGCTTGCTCTTCTCACAGACCAGCGGCCGGCAGAGCTGCTTCTGGTCTTCCATTTCTGTCAGTATGCTTTGAGACAGCTCCTGCAACACAAGCAGAGCTGGTGCTGGGGCGGCCCACCACCATGTGCCCTTGCGAGCTCTTCTCGCGGGCTCTGTGGCTTCAGGGCTGACCTGGAGACAGACTGTGTGCTGCTGCCCTGGCTGTGCTCACCGCCATTGACTAGCCTAAATTCTGCAGGACTAGAGAGCCACCCTGTCCTTTACATGAAAGGGACAAGCCACAGCCGCATCTCCAGGGAGTGGATGCAGGCTGAGGAGGCACGTGCTGAGGTCTTATCCTCAGCTACCCTTGACGAGGTGCCAGGACTTGGGATGGACCAGGGGCTGCTCTGCTCTAGGGGATGTGGCCAGGAATGGGACCACTGAGTTACTGTCCTCATGGGGCTCATGTCCTAGAGGGGCAGAGACAAGGACAGGGTACTGTGTCCAGGATCAGCCAGCATGCTGGAGAAGAGGCGAGTGCTGAGCAGCGAGGGCTAGGACACCTGGCTTCCAGGGAGTGTAGGATAAGCCACATGCATCAGAGAGTCACAAGCAGAGAAGACCCAGAAGGGGGAGATTGGTGGTGGTGGTGGTGGGGGGGCTGGCACACACAAGGCCCAGTCACCTGGCCTTGTGCACGGTGGTTGGGATTTGCCTGCTGTTCTGAGATGTGGGGACAGCACTTGAGGGGTGTGGAACAGACATGGGGCCGCCTTCTGCTCTATTAGGATCCTGGGGCTGGTGTGAGGTGACTTAAGAGGAAAGGTGCGGGCACAAGACACGTCAGAGACCAGATGAGAGAAGACAGGGAGGGTGGGCGGAAGACAGGCAGGACCGGGGACCTGCTGATGACTGGATGTGCCGCAGCACTGAAGACTCATTGAGACACACAAGAGCTTCCAGGTCCAAATCAGGATGTCCCTCAGGGCTCCTGTCTCCTTGTGGAGGACAGTGGGACCTTCTTCAGAAAACCCACTGGATAACTGCACAGTTAAAGTGCTCTGTGTGGCCAGAAGCAGGCGGTGCAGGTCCTGCACGGGGCTGAAGGGACCCTGGACAGTTGGGTGTTAGCTGTCCTTCTGTGCAGCCTCCCGAAGGTGGCACCACCATAATGGTTCTTAGATAAAACCCAGGATCCACAGTCTGTTTTAACCCAGCCCAGCAATGGTCAGTATTGTTCAACAGTGTATTTCCTATTTGTGTGTATGATTTTGCTAAGATGGTGTCCTCAACTTTTGGAGCTGCAACCTCAATGATGAAAATGCCCACTGATCTGGTCCTGGCTCATGGACATGTCCAGGCCCAGGGCGGAGCACCTTAGTAACCAGGAGGCTTCACCTGGAGCTCGCAGGGGTGGCCACAGTCCGCCAGGTGTTCTGTCAGGAGGGCTCGGAGGGGCCTGGTGATGGCATGGAAGGACGGCAACGTGCTGTACATGAGCACACAGCGCTTCAGCAGGGCCAGACACACAGCCAGGCAGGACAATCTTCAAAGGCAGGAGGCAAAGAGGGCATCAGCTTGTTCAGTTTCAGTCACTGACAAACCTTGGCAAAATTGCAACCCTCTCCCATAGCTCTGAAAAGTCAAGTGTGGGCTGCCTTGGCTGGCTGGGGCTAAATACCTGCCCACGGCAAAGCAGTGGGGGCAGTGGCTGGCAGCTCAGCACGTGAGGCACTGAAGAAAAACCCCACGTTCCCTGATCAGAGGGAAGCTGTGGGAGATGTAGCAATGACTCCATTTTAATTTCCAAATCACTATTTGTGAAATTAAGCAGATATATTTTGAAAATCATGCACAATTTAGGAAAGCCTTTTTTTCTTTTTCTTTTTTTTTTTTTTTTGTCTTTTGTCTTTTTTTTCCGTGTCTGGCAACGGATCGCAACCCTCAGTGTTGCCCCCGTACCGGACCAGGGACCGGCAACGGGATTGCAAACCTCGGTGTTGCTCCCGCACCTCGCTCAGCCAGTGAGCGGGAGCCGGTCTGTATGTGGGATCCGAACCCTCGGGCGGGAGCGCTGCTGCGCTTCCCAAGCGGCGCACTATCCAGTGCGCCACCGGGCCGGCCCCAGGAAAGCCTTTTTTTCCACGGTGGGGGAAATACAGCCATCATACCAACACCTTGAAAGGCTTTTAACTCAACATAAAACAAATGGCCACGGGTATAAATAAAGTAAAAACAAGGAAACTTCTGGCAGTAAATCAAAAAGCATCAGCTGTTTCTTCTGTCTTTTGGGATGCTGTGCCCGCACCTGCTGCACACACTCAGGGCAGGGTCTCAGGAGCCCTGGGTCCCCACACGCACCTGATGTGATTGGCCTCTGTTGTAGTCCAGGCTCTCAGTCCACTTGCCCAGCGGAGGGACAGGCTTGTCTTCTGCCACGTGGCCATATCTTTTTTGTCAGAGACCAAGAGCAACTCGGAGTTCTTCCCCAGTGCTCTGAAAGGGTGCACCAGAGTGTAACCTGAATCCCAAGTGCAAGAGGACAGGGATGACCTACACATTACGAGCTCATGGGCAGGCTCTGCAGTGCCAAGCCTTAGAAAGTTCATTTTTTAATATGTACTGAGTTTTTTACCACATTCCCTGGGTGGTACCAGACACTAGGGAGCTTATTCCAATGTGGGCAGAAATGGGCCTGGAAATGATGCTGACAGGGGAGAGCCTGGGCAAGGGGCAGTCATGGCCAAGTCCCTGACCGTGCCTTGGTGCCCTGCTTGCAACAGACTTCCTGTGGGCCTACCACATGCCACAAGTGGCTCTAGGTGCTTGGGCTATGTCTAAGAAGAGGCCAAAGTCCCTGCCCTCGTCGGGGAGATAGTCAATACCACCCACAGAAATAAGTGAACTAGGCAGAATACGTGAAAGCAAAGAAGGATGGACAGAAGAGCAGAGAAGGGCTGGGCGGATGGGACAGGTACACAGTTCACAGCAGAGGTCAGAGACGGCTTCTCCAGATGGTGGCAGTGGGCAGAGACCCGGAGGAACTGCAGGAGTTAACCCAGTGATCGCCTGGAAGAGCAACTGAGGAGGCACAGGGACCAGCACAGGGAACAGTGGTTGGCCGACTGCTGGCCCACCCCTCCCCCAACGCTTTCTATGTGGGCATTTTGCAAACTGAACTGCACCATCCCCATGGCAAGGGTCATGTTAGGTGACTGTGCCTCTCCAGTGCCCAACACCGAGGCTGACGCACAGGAGCAGATCGTGTCCAGGGAATCAGCACAGTCAGGGAGCTGCATGCGGGAAAGTCACACCATGAGGAGGAAGCCAAGGTGTGGGTGGCAGAGCTGGAGCACTGAGCCGGAGGATCTGCCGAGACAGCTCTTCGGGGTGGGGACACTATCAACAGCGTGAAATGCTACCACAACACCTGTTCTGTAGGCCACCACGGCAGGCATCGAGGAGGAGCTCAGACCACACAATGAGCTGGAAATGGGGGATCGAGGTCTTAGCCTTAAGGTCCCACCTCCAAGCAGGTCAGGAAAGGCATCCCACAGACACGGGTGAATTTGGGAACAGAGACCAAGCAGCTCACCAGCAATCCCAAGAGGGAGGCAGAAGGGGCTTGCTGGTTAGCTCGGTTGGTTAGAGCACAGTGTTATAACACCAACACCAAGGTCAAAGGTTTGGATCCCCAACCTGACTGTCAAAAAAAAGAAACTAAGAGAGCAGCAGCACATGCTGAAGAGGCGCCAGCGGAACATGGTCAGCACTGCGGGAAGCTGCTGGAGGAACGGAGGGAGGGAGGGGGGGGAGCACTCAGAAGAGCAGCAAACGTGCAGCCCCCTCCTCGCTGGGGTGCCGCTTCGGACCACCTCACCTGTCTATGTTCTGAGCACTGCAGAAACACAGAGCAGTGCTGTCCACGTGAGCTGTGTGAGGGATACAAAACTTTCTAGTTGTCACACAGAAAAAGTAAGAAAAGAAGCTAAGTTAAAAAATATATTTAAGTCAAAATATGAAAATATGATTTCAAACACAATCAGTAGACAGGTGAGTGAGATGTTTCCATGTGCACTGGCACCGAGTCTCGGCTGTCTGGGCATACTGCACACCGGGGCTTGCTCCAGTTCAGCTTGCCCTGGACAGCATGGATGAGCCACAATCTGATTTTTCAGCATGTGGGGTGAACGCCCAGCCACAAACAGAGGACAAAGAATGCTACTCTGGATGGCAGGACTTCAGGGTTGTCTTTTCTCTACTTTTCCATAGTCTAAGTTTTCTGCAATGAATATGAATTTTTAAAAATTCTAAAGTGCAATATTTTTGAAAAAATCTCCTTCAAATCAACTCACCTTGGCTTTGCTTGTTTGGAGTTGCTATATAAAGAATCCCAAGAAGAAAATTAATAAGCTCAGGTATAAACCTCTGAGACAGAGAGACGTACTCCAGGAACAAGCAGCACACAAACAGGCCCTTCACCACATCTTGAAGGGACAGGATAGGGCACTGCAAATGAACACATGGGACGATCACTGCTGCAGCACAATGTTCTGGAATACTGTGCGAGGCAGACGGCCTGGCTTCCCAGATGAACTGTGCACCCCACTGTTTGACCCACACTCAGGGAACCCCTGAACCTCTCACAGTGGTGTTGAGAGGATCAAGTGAGATGAAGGCAGGAAGAGCCTGTTGATGAGAAAGTCCCACCCACAGGTGGGGTATGATTACTGCAGCAAGCAAGCACCAACCATATGCCTGACAAAGGAAAGGGGACTAGACTGGCTAGTTAGCTCAGTTGCTCAGAGCACAGCCTTGTAACACCAAGGTCATGGGCTGAGATCCCCGAACCAGCCAGCTGCAAAAAAAAAAGCAACAGGGGGACTATACGAACTTTTTTTAAGCCAAGGGGGAACAAAAGTCCCCATTGGGTTCGATACCTTCACCACTAACTTGAAAGGCTGTCTTTCGGGGTCTGTAACCTTGAGTTTCTAAATCAGACCCCACCCCACCCCACTCCTGTCTGGGGCTGGTCAAGCTGGGAGCTCTGGGAGGGGAGCTGGGGCTGTTTCTGGTCTCAGAATGCCTGACTCGCTCAGAGGTTTTCACAGGCCCTGTCAAACACCATGCCCCAACTAACTGAGCTACCCAGCTGGCCCTCACAGGCTCTTGTAAGATGAGCCCTCTTATGCCTGAACTCAGCGGTCAGTCTCCAAAACCCTTAAATAGCCACACTCTTGTTCAATATGGCCCTAAGGAGATGCAGGTCTAGAGTGGAGTGGCTAAGCCCATTTGTGGAAGAGGAAGAGGGGACACACCTTAGTGAGCAGCTGGCTCATGCACACCAGGGCAGGCGTCACGACTGGGTGCCAGAAGTCGGAGGTTGGAAACAGCAGCCCAGTAATTTTCAAATATATGAGCTGGAAAGAAAATGATATCACACAGATTAAGGAAAGAAAAATAAAGTTTAAAATATGCCTTTAAAATGGGCCCAATAGCAAAGCCAGTTTTGAAACTTCTAGAGAAACATAGACACCAGACTTCCACTGACACCTTGTGGCTGTCAACATCCCCCAAGTCGGGCTCTCCCTCACCACCTCTCTGGAGACAGCCAGCACTCCCATTCCCTCCTGCAACAACACACAGCCGGACTCTTCTGGAATGTGCGTCATTTCTCTGGTGGATTTGTAACTAGAGACAGAAACTAGAAGCCCTATCCTGTAAGCTCACAGGGTTCAGGAGCCTGTCCCCAGCCCGCAGCCCTGGGGCTTCCCCTCACAAGGCTGGGGAGCATGACCACCAGCTGGATGCGCAGTGTCCCTTCTGCCTCAGCCGGGACTGAGGCAGTGCACAGTCTTGGCATCCAGCACTACTACTTCTGCTCTAAGCCTGTTAACTCAAAGGAAGAAAAACTTCTTCATCTCTATTTCTACTTTTTTTTTTTTCCTTTTTGTCTTTTTTTCGTGTCCTGCAACGGATCGCAACCCTCAGTGTTTGCGCCCGCACCTCGCTCAGCCAGTGAGCGGGAACCGGTCTGTATGTGGGATCCGAACCCTCGGCGGGAGCGCCGCCGCACTCCCAAGCAGTACACTGCTACAGTGCGCCACCGGGCCGGCCCTCTATTTCTACTTTTTAAAGCAAGCATTTAGTAGTTCACTGTGGCCCTGGGCACAGACCTGGTCCCCATGTCACACTGTGACATTAGAGATGATGCAGAGCCACACTCAAGGTGGCCACACAGTCATTACCAGAAGAATCTGCCTTTGCTTGGCAGGAGGCAGCTTCTAGTATTTCGGGTTAGGTATCTTTCCTCATCAAAAGGTGGAACCGGACTTTATCACCTACAATGGGTACAGAGGTTGTGACTTCTTCAACTAAAGAAAACAGTCAGCACTACTGGCAGCGGCCAAGGGCCTACCTGGGAACCAAGCCTGACACAGCCACCCGCTGGTCTGGTGGCCCTGGTCAAGTCACCTGAGCTCTCAGTTTCCTTGTCCGTTTAATAAGTTTACTAAACTCGTACTTTGTAGAGTAATCGTGAGGATCAGAGAAGATGTCATGTGCGTCCAGCCTGTCATTGGGCACACTCATTTTTTGAGCATGCAAAACGTGCTGCTCTTCATTTGCTTTTACCTCCACCTGTTAGAAAGTATCCACGCAGAAGCATCTCGCAAACTGCCCTAGCAACAGTGTTGAACTTTTCACCAAGGACTAATAAGAAGGCATTAGTTATTTTCAATAGTTGCTGGTACTGCTTGTCAGCTGTCACCCTAGGGTCTCTGAGTAGCAGCCTGTCAGATGCAGCCCTTCCCCAGCTGCAGATGGCTTCACAAGCCAGAGTGCAGTACTGAGGTGCAGTGTGGAGAAGAAGCCTCATCATCACAGACAGAGACTCGCTGCTGGAACAGCCTTTTACACAGAAGGAGGGAAAAGTCCTGCCTGCAAGGACTCCTCGCTGCCCCACAAATAATGATGTTTCCTTGGATAGTTTTTATTACAACAATACACACTGGCAAAAACTGGCATAAGCAAAGTCACAGACAGGCTGGGAAAAGTTTTTGCAATTCATTAAAAAAAGGTTTGGCCCAGGGCATCGAGCCAGGGACCGGACCCCCAGCCCACAACCAGGCACACCACCAGCACCTCCATGTGGGCCCACCACAGCCACCACAGTAACCATGGCTGCGGTGAAAGTGGCTAGATGCCACAACCACCGTGCAGATGGTCCGCCAGCCACTGGAGTACATTGACACAAGGAGAGTCACCAGCAGAGACCAAAGGAAAGAAGAGGATGTCTCTCTCCACAAAGCCCATTCCAGAGTGACAGAAGAAGCATCTGCTCTATGATAATATTGGGGGACCTGATCACACCTCTCAGCATTGGACAGATCGTCTAGGCAACAAATCAACAGAATAACCATTACTCTTTCAGAGGGAGAGAAGAAATCTAGGGTTATCAGTGGTGGGAGGGTGGAGGGTGAGGGGGATGAGGATAGATTGGACAAAGGGCGCAAAGAATAAGAATGATTTGTAACAATATACATGCTAGTAATATTGATTTGCTCAACATATGTCAGCACTGAATCCCAAAAATATGTATAATCAATTACGATTCAATAAAATAAATAAATAGAATTTTAAGATAAACAAATAAATAAATAAAGGTTTGGGTTTGGCCAGTTAGCTCAGTTGGAGCATAGCGCTGGTACCACCAAGGTCCAGGGTCCAATCCCTGTACCGGCCAGTCAACAGAAAAAAACAAAAACCAGCAACCTAATAGAAACATTTTGCAAAGAACACGAAAAGCCTGCACAGAGAAACTGATTTCTTTTAAACATGTGAAAACATTCTTAGCTTGATTCTCAGTAAGAGAAACATAAAACAAAGCTGTGTAAAGATACCATTACTTATTTTTCATATTGACAAATACAAGTTTGGTGAGACTTAATTGGCAAGGGTGTGGGGACACAGGAATGCAGATCTCAATAGCCATGCTGGTCTCTGCAGCGGGAAGAGGAGGTAAATCAATGAGGATGCTCTGAATGGATGGTGACAAGTGACAAGGCGGCTGGCTAGTACAGGGACACAAACCCTGGACCTTGGCATGAGAACTTCTTTTTCTGTGACCGTGGCTACCTCTGTGGCCTCCTGCTGACAAAAGTGCCCACCTCACGGGTGCTGTGAGGACTCAACACAGAAGTGTGGGGCCAGTGCCAGGTAAGGTAGAGCCTCACTCAGCACACTCCAGTACTCGCTGCTGTTTTAGAGACAAGGAAGCAGAGTCCCAAAGGCCCTTAGGAAGTGGGGAGACCGTCCAATCTCCATGACACAAAGGTGCCTTGAGTATGTTTTCCCCAAATCATGTGTAGTACATCATGTGGCTGTTTAGTCTTAGGGGATGATGACGGCAAGCTATGCTTTCAGGAGACCTGCCGTGGGTCAGGCACAGTCCACAAGCAACAGTGATACAAGGCACCAAAAGGCTGGTCAACAGAACAGTGAGGCTGCCCTGCCACCTCGGCTCTCTGTAGGACCTCAGGAATCCTCTATCTTGTCCAGAGGCACAAAGAAATCCTCCAAAGCACCCCGAGCAGAAATGTCAAGCACACACCCAGCAGGCCCCATTTCTTCCTTTCTGGTCCTGGCAAGGGCTCTAGTTAATCTCCACAGACCCACGGGGAGGGCTTGCAAAAGAGCCCCAAGCCCCACCCAAAGCAGGGCTCTAAGGAAAATGAGGCTCCGGGACGCAGGGTGAAAAGGGAACTCTTGCCAGCTCCACACCCCCATCACGCCCCACTGCTCCCATCTCTGCAGCAACAGAACCACACTGTGAGTCAAAGAACAGCCATGGAGGTGACGGCCACTGTTTACTGACAACTGTGCCCAGGCAGTGATATGGCCACGTGACGTGTATTAACTCACATGTCTTCATATCAGCCTATCGGGTAGGTATCATGACTGTAATTATCATCCCCCCTTTAAAGACCAGGACCATGCAGCTTAAAAGAAAGACCTGGGATTTAAGCCCAGGCAGCATGACTATGCTCTGACTATACGACTTCCCCACTAACACCTGTGGACAGAAAACAGGCTCAAGGCGGGCAGAGATTGGGTCTCCTTGGCCCATGGCTTCAGCCTCAGAGTCTAGAACAGCACTTGGCACATAATGGACCCGCAGCAATCACTGCTCAATCACGTAAATGTATAATAAAGGATGCCGGTTTGAGGCTCATGAAGAGGTAATCAAAGCAGAGAGCCACAGTTTATGGACACTGACTCAAATCATATTTTGAGGAGTCTATTAAAACCATCAACACAAATCCTATATTTTTAAGCCTCTGCTACCTATTGTTATCATTTCAACACAAACACAGAAAATTGAATAGACATTTCTTTTCTTTTTTTTTTTTCCTTTTTGTCTTTTTTCGTGACCGGCAACGGATCGCAACCCTCAGTGTCGCGCCTGTACCGGACCGGGACCGGCTACGGGATTGCAACCCTCGGCGTTGCTCCTGCACCTCGCTCAGCCAGTGAGCGGCCGGTCTGCATGTCGGATCCGAACCCTCAGCGGGAGTGCCGCCGCGCTTCCCAAGCGGCGCACTGTAGCAGTGCGCCACCGGGCCGGCCCTGAATAGACATTTCTAAGCAAGCATTTTTTCAAAGTTACTAAAGTTGAAAACACAGCACAAGGCTGGTATAAAACTTAAAAATCTCAGAGTGGTTCAGATGTCTCTCAACATTTGAATGAATAAAGAAATTGAAACCAAGCAAAACCAGCCCACAGGCTCAGGTCCTTAGGAAAACACAGTGGTTTTATCTGCTTTAAAACATCTTTGCCGTTAAGACCAAATACAGCCCTGTGTGTGTGGAACCAAACAAGCATCTCCTGCGATTACACACTTTAGCTGATCACTAATGGATGAAGCACCCTCCCAGGTCCAGGGCAAGGCCAGCCTCTTACAAAGCCACGGGAACGGTATCTGCCACCAGTCCTTCAACGTGATGTCAAAGAGAACTCGACTTCTGGTTACTGTGTGGCAATGGTCTGGTTAACTCCGCCCCTGCTTACCACGTCTAACCCTGGAAACGCCGCCCGGCCTCTGGTCTCGACCATTCCTGCCATCTCGTGCATGGCATCCCGCAGGACAAATTTTATGGAGTCACTTGCAGATTCAGGAAACATCTGGCAAAGATTGTATAACTGCCTATTAAGTAGAAAAATAAGTCAAGAGAGTATGACTCCAGATAACAGAAACACAGAAAAAACCCTGCAGACCATTTTTCTGAGAGGTCACCCACAGACTGAGCACGTTACAAACGGAAGCCCTGGATGAACCCACCTTCCCTCCCACTGACATCTGGCTGGCTTTCCTGGTGATGCAGATTAACTTTCCCAACTGTACTTTATAATGGTCTATACTCATTTTTATCATTTCCTAAAAATATGGTCATAATGTTTTCATGGTGGTGGTGGTACAAGTAGCTGTATTTGCAATAATAAACCTGCTGGGAGCACATTCTACGTGCCAGCCGTGGCTGACAGTTCTAAGGCTCTTTCGTTATTAATTAATTTACTCCTCACCACAAGTACTTTTCTGACAGTGTCTCTTCGATAAGGCAGAAGCTGACATGGAGAGGCAGGGTGCACAGGGCAGGACGCTCCCCAACACCCTCTGGGGCACCTCTATGCACACACCCTCACTGGCCCCAGATGCCAGCACGCGCCGTCTGACGGAGAACTCTGCCCCTCTAGCATTCTTCCAGCCACCAGCACTGAGGGCCAGAAGCCACCCCACAGGTCACAAGCCCACCCCCGGCTGTGCTTGTAGGACAAGAGGGATGGGCTTCCCCAGCAGGAGCTCTCAGACCCAGGCAGAGCCAGTTCCTCAGATTCTCGGGGTAACAAGGGAGCGTGTCTACCCTGTACTCCTGATATCTCTCGACCTGCCCAGGGCTTGAAGCTTCACTGGTGAGTGAAAAAAGTGAACAGCCAGCCAGATCTGAGGGCTCAACTGTTCTGAATCCAACCTATCTGTGGTTAAAAGTAAGTCTCGTATCTTTGGTGACTGGAGTAGCACGTGTTAGAGTGAAGGAGTTGTTACTGAGCCACTGCTGTTTACGACCTCTGTGGGTAACCCACCTACCTGTCATGTTCATGTCACCATTTTGTCTACCTAGTAAGGTAGAAATGTATTTTTTACTACTAAACTAGAGAAAAATTGTTCAACTCAGCCCCACACCCCAGGTAACACACCATTTCTACTTACACAACCAACTTATCAATCACTCTGAGGTCTGGTGGATCACGTGCAGCCAGATCTCCAACATATTCCAAAAGAAAGCCAAACAGCTTCTACAGGAACATGAATCGGGAGACAGAGCTCAGCGCAGAGCACCAAGAACAGAGCCACAAGCACACACCTTCCAGGTCACCTACACTCTGGGGAAAACCAGGGGGTGCGGGGGCGGGGAGGGCAAGGGGCCTTGGGACCACAGACTTGAGTATCTCACAAAAGCAAGTGAAGACATGGCCAGAACCTGCTGAGCACCAGGAAGTGCAGAGAAGAAAAAGCTAGGGGTCAGGTACATACTTCTGCAAAATGGCAGATGATACACAATTATTAAAAAAAATCAGGAACACACCTGGCACTGCACCCTGTTCATAGTAAATATGAATCATTTACTAAGAGAAAAAGGCATGTTCACAGTTCCTATTTACCTAAAGTCTGGCTTTGCCGCTCGATGGCTATGTAAGCCTTAGTTTCCTTGCCTGTGACACAAAGGTAACAATGCCTGATCCTCCTGGTCTGCTGTGAGGCTAGAGGAGGTACCAGATGTCCACAGCTGGTTCTCTGCCTGCTCCAAACTCAGGGTTCCCCTCCACAGGATCATACTGATAACCAGTGACCCACAGGCCACGGCCTGAGGCGCACTTTGTTACTGTATGATGTTAGGCAATTCCGACATTCACAGAGACTGGGGGTTACGCTAACTCTTCTAACACACAGCACATGTATTTATTACAACATACTTCTAATTTTGCTTTGTTTCCCACTGCGAGACTTGGATGGTGGCATTTCTGAATTCTCTCCACCACCAAAAGCTGCTCTTCCATTGATCTTCCTGATAATAAAGATCTCAGTTCCTCATAGGATTCGGGAGCTATCAAAAAAACAAAACACACTCCACACTTAACATTTAAAATGAGAACTACTCACATTTCTGCTAACACAGAGGTAAAAACTAAATACAATGTAAGTAAAATTACTTCTTTTCCTACAGCAAAAGATAATTTAACTTACATTTTACATTAATATTTATTTTACCCCATATTACCACAAACACATCAAATGTTTGTTGTCTCACCCCAAGGAGTCTGAGACTGGATTGACCTGGGCATGACTATGCACCTAAGAACAGCCCCAGTGAAGAAACAACCTCTCACCTTTCCTTGGTTAGGAATTAAATATCCATAACGTGCAGTGAGTCTAGGTGACAGCGTGCTGATTTTAGTGCCCAGACTGCATGAGAACGAGCAGGAAGGAGCCACAGTGAGCTAAGTCATGTCACCTCGTGAGACTCAACTGTCAAAGGTCCCATCCATGGAGGCCAGCTCACCTGCTCATTTATCCCCTTAACATAACCTTCAGACAGGACAACCAGGGACTACTTACTGAAGTGGACAACTTTTCCCTATGTACCAGACAAAATAACACAGTATACTCTATGTAAGATGTTACGTGGCCAGACAGGGACGTCCACGTCGGATACTGGAAGTCTTCCTGGAGACTTTCCAGGCCGTGGCCTACTGGCCACCACAGAGGGCAGACTACCAACGGGAATGTGAACATGCTGCTACAAGACGTGTCAGCCTCATCTGGATGGTGGTCTCCAGAGATGTCCACGGTCAAGCAACCGAGGCTAACACTCGTGCTGGGACTTGGATCAAGAGACACCAAGCAGAACGGTGACACCACCTGTCCACACAGCAAAGATGTCACAAACAGGAATGTGTCCGCACACTCACATATGCAAGCCCAGGGAGGGAGACAAACACGTATACACTATGGCCAGGACATGGCAGTTGTGCCAAGACACAGAAAAACCCAACTGTCTGTCTACCTGTGAACGTATAGGGCAGCTCAGTTCCAGCGGCTTTTTGATCATCACTTCTCAGTCCTTCCCCAGGAGTCTGGTGCAGCCTGTCCTCTGGCTTCTCGCTGCCTTCCTCACTGTCGCCATCAGATGCTAGGTCTGAGTGGCTATCTGTGCCATCCCTCTCCTCGGGCTCCTCCCTGCATGATCCTTCATCCCCTTCCTCTTCGCTCTCGTCATAACTGGCTTCCCTGCTCTGCTCTTCTGGGACGTCGTCCTCGACATTCATCTTTCCATCCTAGGATGAGCGTGGAGGCCACGGGGTGGAGACAACAGTTGGAACTTCAGAACAGCACACACATGCACCAGGGCTTTCTGACCCTCTTGCGAGGAACACGACCCGTGCACTCCATTCGTGCACTGGTTCTGGGCCTCCTTTCCCACCCTCTTCTCTGACAACCCTGAGCCATGGGAGCTGGACTCCCAGAGAGGCCTGCTGCCAGGACTCGGTCGGGCACGGTTTGCGTCCTGCCAGGGCGCTGCATGGGCTCCAGATGTGGAAGGCCCACAGTGGCCTGGGTTTCATAGCTGCACGTCTGCAGCGCCCTCCACTGGTTCTGGGGCTGGGGAACAGCAAGGACAGCAGTGGCTTCCCAGCTTTTGGGCTGCTCCTGGGGGTGACCCCTGACTTCTGCTACTCCAGAGAACCTGGTGTTTTTGTCAGCACCCGGTTCCCTGTCTTGGACCCTTTTCTGCTCCAAACACCTGGCTTGCCTGTTTTTCTGCCCTGAACCCTGACACACTATAAAAGGAGAGATGGGGGTAGACCTTACAAAGTTTTTGAATTAAAAACTGCACCAGGGCCGGCCCGGTGGCGCACTGCTACAGTGCGCCGCTTGGGAGCGCGGCGGCGCTCCCGCCGAGGGTTCGGATCCCACATACAGACCGGCCGCTCACTGGCTGAGCGAGGTGTGGGCGCAACACCGAGGGTTGCGATCCCGTTGCCGGTCCCGGGCTGGTACGGGCGCGACACTGAGGGTTGCGATC